TCCTCGGAACAGCAGTCAGTGCTCTTCAGCACTGAACCACTTATCCAGCCCTCCCAGCCTTTTAAAAGGCAAGGTCTCACTATGCAGCCCTGGAACTTTCCTTTTCTTTTCTGGGGGGCGGTAGTTCAAGACACGGTTTCTCTGTGCCTTGGCTGTCCTGGAACTCACTCTGTAGACCAGGCTGGCCTTGAACTTAGAGATCTACCTGCTCCTGCCTCCCAACTGTTGGGATTTTAATACACCACCACTACCAGGCTCATTTATCCTTATTTTTTATTGCTAGTTTATTTTTACCTGTTCTTTCTTTTTTAGTTTGTTGATTTTGAGGGTCTTATTCAACCCAGTGTGACCCTGAACTCACTACATAACAGAAAGCAGCAATGAACAAATGCTGAGATTACAAGTATGTGTCACTATGTCTGGCTTTATTTTTTATTTGCTCTATGATGTCCTTTTACCTCTTGAATTATTCTGATTATATATGTAAAATTTCTATATATGTAATTAGACACCAGCCCAAGGTTGTTAATGGGATATTTCAGGGTTCAAAACATTTTTTGAAAAACTGTCCTCCCAGAATAGATCTAATACATCATTTCTTCATGTTTTGAGAATTAATTATGTCTGATCTCAGAGGCTAAGTAAGGTTGGGCCCAGTTAGCAGTTGGAAAACTAATATGACTACAAATATTTTTTAAATGTGGTATAATTATAGAACATCAAGAATAGAGGATGTATTGCCAACTTGTACAAAGCCCCGAGTTCAAGTACCAACATAGAATAAATTAGATGTGGTAGTACAAAACCGTAATCCCAGCATTTGGGAAGTTAAGACAGGGAGATCAGGAGTTCAAGACAACTTGCTGCATAGCGATAGATCTGAGGCTAGCCTAGGCTATACAAACCCTGTCTCAAAACAAAAATAACATAATTTAGTAGGACTAATTTTCTTCTCCCCTTTGCAATGTTTTTATCACATTTAGAGAGTGTATGAGAGTGACAAAGTCTGTGTGTGCGCATGAGAACAGGTTCTGGGGAATGGAAAGGTCAGCAGGCACCTTTAACCTGCTAAGCCATCTCACCACCCTACTTTTCTTACCTAGCCTTAGACAACAAAGGTAGGCTCTTCATAAGTTCACATCAAAGACCACTAAAATATTTAAGTTGTCATCATTAAGTGAAGTTGTCTGGACTCTGGACTCTGTATTATCTATACCACGATTCATAGTATACAGAGCCAAGAACATAAAGCGTTTGTCTCAGACTCGGGAGGAAAAAGCAGAAAGATTGTAAGTACCAGGCCACGCTGGGATAGACAAATGAGGAAGAATTTGTAAAATAAACTGGGCATTGGTGGCACATGCCTTTAATCCCAGCACTCGGGAAGTAGAGGCAGGCGGATCTCTCTCTGTGAGTTCAAGGCCAACCTGGTCTCCAGAGCAAGTGCCAGGATAGGCTCCAAAACTACACAGAGAAACCCTGTCTCGAAAAGCCCCCCCAAAAAAATCTGTAAAATATACAATACTGCTGTGGTGACAATGGAAAATTCATTTCTTCCATTTTCCCCAAAAACTACTTCACAGTGATATACATCTTTTGAATAATTTTTTGAACATGTGTTCTTTTTTAATTTATGTGTATGAGTTTTGCCTATATGTATGTCTGCTCATAAAACATACACATTCCTGGTACCAATGGAGGCCAAAGAGGGTGTTGGATTCCTTTAGACCAGAGTTACAGATGGTTATAAGCTGTCATTTGGGCCTGTCTTCTTTTTTCTAAAGGGTCTCACTATGCCATACAGGATCAAGATCTCCTGAAGTTGGACATGGTGGCACAAACCTTTCATTACAGCACAAGCAGAGGCAGGAGGATCTCTATGAGTTTAAGGCCAGCCTGGTCTACATAGTAAGTTCCAGGATAGTCTCCAAAACAATAGAGAAACCCTGTCTCAAAAAAGCCAAAAAAAACAAACAAAGTAAATAAATACAGATTTCCTGCCTCAACCTAAGTAGTACTAATTGTATATCACCACATTAGGATTAATCAAGTTTCAAATAGTTTATTACAATCTTCTAAAGAGTCCTAAAATTTATCAATAGAAATTCAAAGGCTGGTATACAGCACTGGGGAAACAGGTAAAAGCAGGGAGATCTCTCTGTTCAAGACCAGCTTAATCCACATAAGTCAGCACTCATATAGTGAGATCCTGTCTCAAAAAAAAGAAAAATAAATAAATAAATAGCCGGGCATTGGTGGCACACGCCTTCAATCCCAGCACTCGGGAGGTAGAGGCAGGCGGATCTCTGTGAGGTTCGAGGCTAGCCTGGGCTCCAGAGCCAGTGCCAGGATAGGCTCCAAAGCTACACAGAGAAACCCTGTCTCGAAAAACCAAAAAATAAAAATAAAATAAAGTGAAGTTGGTTGAGATTGTAGCTCAGAATATTCAGCATTCACTCTTCATCAATGACTCCCCCAGAAATATTTATTTGTAACTTTTAGGGGGGCTTTGAGTACAACTCAGTGGCAGCATCGGTCTTAACATATTCAAAGTCTTAGCACGGCTTTGGTGGTGCCCGACTTTAATCCCGGCACTCGGGAGGCAGAGGCAGGCGATCTCTCTGAGTTGGAGGCCAGCCTGGTCTCCATGGCCAGTGCCCGGATAGGCTCCAAAGCTACACAGAGAAACCCTGTCTCGAAAAACCAAAAAAAACAAAAGGAACTCGGGAAGGGAATGTGGCTCACTTCTGTTAATAGAAAAAGGGCAAATCCCAGTCATTCCTTTCTTGATCACTCACTGTGTGCCAGACCCCTGTATGACTCTCCAGAGGCCCTTTACAACATATTCAAAGTCTTGAGTTTAATTCCCACAACAAAAAAAGAAAAGAAAAAAAGAAACTAACAATAATCCAAAGAACCAGGCATAGTGGGTTATGCATGTAAATGCAGCGGCCAGAGGCTAAGACAAGAGAATTCAGAATTTGAAGCCAGCCTGAACCACAAAGTAAGACCCTGCCCCACAAAAAGACGACTCTAAGGAATTTCCCTTCTGTAGACTTTCAGAAACCACTATGTACCAGGAGACTCCAATCTGATCCAGCAACACAGGGGCCTAGACCAGAAACAAGACTGGCAGACAAACCAAGGCTATTTCAGCAAATTTTGGTTTCTGTGTATATGTTTTCAAAATGTTGTACAAGAAATAATATGAAGTTAAAGCAACTGAGTTTCTGAATGATACCAATTCGAAGTGGTAGTAATTTGCCCAAGAACCTAATATTAAATAGTAGTATCTTAAACTATCTCTAGGAAACCCAGAAAAAGATTAATATTTCTCTGTTTCACTTACTAGATTTTCTATGTAAACAATGCAGCACTATTAGCTTCTATACGCAGAAATCTAATTTCTTTCCATAATGTTGGTTTGGTTAGACACTGGGAAATACACATATTTAAGTACAATAATCTGACCACAAAGCTTAACAATATTTTCAGTTACCTTAACTTTTCACTTCAACTTTATTAAAAATCTTATTTTACAAGCTTTAACATATTTCATGTGAGAAGGCAAAAAAATGCAGCAACCATCTAATTATAGTTGCAGAGCAAAAAATAAAACTAGCTTCAATTATTAAAACTGCAAACAACGTGTATTAGCTAAAACACCATGTCTTGCACATCAAACTCAAGAACGTGAACTAGAAATATTCTTCACATCTAAAACACATCATTACCAAAGAAAACATGGCCCTACTGAGAGCGGGAACTAACTTTCTGACCTCTTTTCAAAATGACAAACTAGAACAGCAAAATCACACTCAGGCACATGGAGTACTGCTCTCTCAAATCACTCCACAGAGAACTTCATCATTTGCTCCGCCCTCTAATAACTCATGCAAAAAAAGTTGAGCACCATCAGAGAGAAACAAGACACACAGCGCATTCACAGAATGGCTTAGAGCCTCCCCTCCGGGCTAAGAGAACCTGCGTCTGCCCTTCGTCGGGGTCCGAATGGAAAGCAAAACCTAGGCCTGAGGTTTCGCCGATACCGACACCCAGAAACAGATTTCTCTGCAAGAAGTTTCTGCCGCCATCCCTGTTTTATCAGCAAAGGCTCGGGCGCCATCGTCTCGATCTTTGATTTTATTATGAGGATGTGCGAAAGGCCACCCAGGATTACTCTAGGCCTCCCCCCATTAAGCTTAGGGGTGCCCCCCTCGTTCCTATCCTACACCCTCCGTCCCTAAGGTACTCCTCCGCACCCCTTGTTCCTGGCGGCAAGTCCCCCGGGATGTGCAAAGGCGCGGCAGAACCCCCCGGCCTCGCCGTTAAGGAGAGAAGGCCCTCACACGCCAGGGCCACCGCCGAGGCTCCGGGGGGCCCAGCGAGGGGAAGGGCAGGCTGGGGTGGAGGGAGGATGACCCGGCCGGGGAGAGAGGACAACGTGAGAGGACGCGCTGCACCCCCTTGTCCGCGGGCCCCACGGTACCCCGAGAAGGTGATGAAGGAGGAAGAGGGCGGTGGCGGGGGTGCGGCCCCCTCCTCCTCCCCC